CCACCTCTCTGTCAGCCGCTGTTTGGTGTTCCGCCACCTCTCTGTCAGCCGCTGTTGGTGTTCCGCCACCTCTCTGTCAGCCGCTGTTTGGTGTTCCGCCACCTCTGTGTCAGCCGCTGTTTGGTGTTCCGCCACCTCTGTGTCAGCCGCTGTTTGGTGTTCCGCCACCTCTCTGTCAGCCGCTGCTTGGCATTCCACCATCTCTCTGTCAGCCTGGCATTCAAGGAACCGCAGGTATGCTTTAAGATCTGTCTTCATGAGGTGTTTCAGGGCTTCCTGCCTTTGAGGAAAGTCTATGCTGGTTACAGGCACTCCCGATGCTGGCTCCCGCTTCGGGCGGGTGGTGTGATGAACATTCGGTGATCCTCCAGTGTCAGTCTCTGTATGCCCATCCTGCGAGGCCGTCTCTGAGCCTCTGGGATCGGGAGATAGCGGGAACCCCGTCATGGTCAAGTTCCCCCCCCCCGAGTTCTGATCTGCTCGGATATCATACTCCAGTAGGTCCCGAATCAAATCTTCACGATATTTGCAACTGACGTCCATTCCTCGTGAGGTACATTCAGCACTCAAATCACTTTTGGTCATTTTCTTGTATTCTGCTGCACCAGGCATAATTGCAAGCAAGATAGAACAGAAAGTAGAAAAAGGAAGGAGCTGTTGCTATATGTCTCTCTCTCTCTCTATATATAAAAAATATGCACCACTTGTTTCTAAGGACTGTTTCCACAAAGGTTACAATCCTTCAGTGTAGAGCTAATTTCTAACACTACACTGAAGCTCTTAATGCAACTATCCCACGTACGCTGCCAACCAATATGTGACGGGCGTGGCATCAGACCCCGGACCTTCTCACCAAACTTGTGACCGAAGGACTAGCCAATCTAAAACCGCGATGTCCCGTGCATAACAATGCCATGCCCAGCTGCACCCTGCACAAAGATTTTCCAGCTAATGGACTACAATTTGTGTACCTGCAGCCTGGACGCGATTGTTACTGGGTCAGGTTAATTACGCAATTAACCCTTCACACTGCCACCAGCTCCTTTTTGTACAGAGAAAGAGGAAACTCGGCAATATCAGCAATACACTAGGATGATTGGTTAAACGTCGGTATCCCGCTATCTCCACAGACAGGTTATACAGAGGGTTAAACACTCATAGTAGTGCTCTTCAGCGGCAGGGATTCGTAAGTTACAGTCAAGAGCTATAGAAACAGTTCAACACTTTCAGAAAGTAAAGTTTATTACTAAAAGGTCAAAAGGGTGCAGTAGAAATATTTACAGGAAAAAAAGATGTAACATATACATACATGTATATATGTATGTATGTATGTATGTATAGATATATATATATATATATATATATATATATATATATATAAAAGATGTAACATATATATATATATGTATAAATATATGTATATAATATAAATATACAGAGCGCAACAGCACAGCAAACAGATAACAGAAAGAACTTTAGGTAAATAAGTACTTGTTCACAAAGATGCCTAGGGTTAAGCAGTTTCAAGTCTGATGAGCTTAAAAGGGATTTCTGGTCTTGACTGCTAGTTTTGTTGGTTCATCGCAAGAGACTTCGCTTTCTCTCGGTCTGCTAGATGTTAAGACGCAGACAGTCCTCACTTCTCTGACACACACAAAAGCATAACAGCTTCTTTTTCTACACAAAATCAACTGGTATCTTCCTACAACGGACAAGCCAATACCTTATTTGGCAAGAAGATTGTATAGACAGCCCCTTAGCAAGGTAGGCTGAACGCATTCCTGAGGGAGGGGCGAAAATTGGAGGAGGGAGACTGATTTGTTTTGGGGAGAGATACCAAAATGTAGATGTTTGGAGCAGAATGGATGACCGCCCCCATCTCTGTGTGCATGATTGTGACATGTGGCATTAGCATCAACAAGTTACATCGTTATAATATACAATGGGGTACAAAGTCATGTATACCGAAATTATAACCATAGATTCCAGACCACATTTTCCAGATCCTTTTTTTGAAAAAGAGAAAAAAAAACCCATTTCAAAAAAGCTAGGCTGGGAAAAAAAACAGAAGGAAATTAAAATACGCGAGTTATAAAACCAAAATAGTTTTTTTAACAATTTAACAAAAACCAGCCTTTTTCGAGCTGAAATTTGAGAGTCAAACCTCCACAGCTCATCCACGTGCTGCTGGTGTTTTTTGAGGGGGATAGTAGATAAAGAATCTAATCCAACTTTTGCCAATAGTAGAGATTTACCTTATGGATTTAGCTATATCCCAAATTCCCATTTAAGGGTTGATGGAAGAATAGTTATCTCACAGTATACCCGAAGGGATTCCACTGCTTAAAAGCCTGTCCTTAACTAATTGTGCTGGTGGTAATCCCGGAGTCCCCAACAAGGCGTCCCAGACTTTTGTAAATTTCGGGGCACATCCTCTATGCTGATAAAATAGTTTTTCTCTAGTCAGAGTATCATTAACCGCTTTAATCCATTGAATATGGGAAAGAGGTGTGGGCGATAACCATTTCTGAGCTATAAGTTTCCAAGCAATAAACAGCACTCTAAGGATAGCTATATAGACATGTGGAGTATACAGTTCCTCATCCAACATTCCCAATAGACAAAGCTTGGGATCTAATGGTACTTTAAGATTCCAGATCTTATTGATCATTGTTATAATATGGGACCAATATCTTACCAATTTGGGGCATTTCCATAGCATATGGATAAGCGTTATGAATTTCCCACCTAGGGCAAAGGGGAGAATCCCTCCTATTCCAAGCGTATAGCCACTGAGGAGTGTATAAGTGCGTTGGATAATAAAGAGTTGGGTAAGCTTCCGAGCTGGGGACAAGGAGATTTTAATAACATTTTCTAATATGGCGGACCACTCCTCATCTGAAATAGTATCTAAATCAGTCAACCATTGTGTTCTACAAGTAAGGGACATTGTCTTAGAAACTTTGAGCATAATGGATTGGTAGATCGAAGATATTTGACCCTTTCTTGTAGTTGAAGCTATAGTTTAAGTATTACCGGTTAAGTAAATGACCATGAAGAGGCTTTAGATTGTGCAGTAATGGCATGTCTAAGCTGTAGGTACTGGAAAAAGAATTGCTTAGGCAAGTCAGATTCAAGCTGCAAAGTACGGAAATCTTTCAGTAACTGACCATTCTATAATTGTGGTATATATTTAACTCCCATCATTATCTAACCAGCAAAATCCTGCATCAAAATAAATGGCTCAATCATCAACCCATCCCCACATGCCAGGGTGCTAGGTGTATTTCTGGACTCTGAACTATCCCCGTCGTCCCCACATCCAATTACTTTCCAAAGCTTGCCACCTCAGCCTCTGTAACATCTCCAAGATATGCGCCTTCCTAACCAATGACACCACAAAGCTTCTAACTCACTCCCTGGTCATCTCCCGCCTTGAATAATGCAACTTTCTCCTTAATGGCTTACTTTTGCGTTTGCTATCCCCCATCCAGTCCATTATGAATGCTGCTGCCAGACTAATCTACTTTACCAGCTGTTCAGTGTCTGCCACCCCTCCTTGCCAGTCCCTCCACCCAACCAATAAAATTCAAGATACTTACAACTTGTAAAGCCATCTACAACTGAGCCCCTAGTTACATCAGCAACCTGGTCTCAAAAACCAACCAAATCATTCTCTTCATTCCTCCCAAGACTTCCTATCTAGCTCCCTTGTCACCTCCTCCCATGCTCACCTCCAAGATGTCTCCAGAGCCACTCCCATCCTCTGGAACTCCCTTCCCCAATGTGTCCTACTATCTCCATCTTTGTCTACTTTTAAACGATCTCTGAAAACTCATCTTTCCTATCCTGCCCCCACCTAACAACTGTACATGTATTTTTTCCATCATCCCATCCCCACAGTTATTACCTTTTGTATCTCTTGACCCTCCCTCTTAGATTGTAAGCTCTAACGAGCAGGGCCCTCTGAATCCTCTGGTATTAATTTGTATTGTAATTGTACTGTCTGCCCTTATGCTGTATAATAATAATAACAATTCTGCTGGAGAGCTTGTGCTTTTGACAAAAAAGACTTGCTGGCTGGTCCACCAAATGAAAATAGAAGAAAGAAAGCCTAAAAAAAGGAAACAAATACAGCCAACACATATAAGGATTGGTAAGCTGCAATATAATATAAGTTTGCTTTATGGTTTCATACTGCTTTAGGGTGGCCAAACATGGATCAAAATTTGTCCAGTTCAGTTGTGTCTGGCTGAATTTTGATCCATGTGTGGCCACAATCTACTGATCGACTTATAGTCTCATAGTTAGTCTGGCTGAAAAAAAAAAGACAAAAGTCCATCCAGTTCAACCATTAAAAAAAAAAGTTATAATCCTACACCCACAGTTGATCCAGAGGAAGGCAAAAAAAAAAAGAAAAAAAAAACCCAGCAAAGCATGATCCAATTTGCTCCTGAAGGGGAAAAAAATCAACTTCTGTTCAACCTCCCTGTTAGTAAATATTTGCTCAATCAAAGCCACAGGCAATAGGTTGCAATGCTGATCTGTATATTCTGACACCAGGGGCAGTCTTCCTGCTGTCAAAAAACAATTACACAGCAGGGAGGATGCCCACATCCACATCGAATGTGTGGATGAGGGGTTAGGGTCAGCTTTTTCATTCAACCAGTGGCTTGAACAAAAAAAAAAAAAAATTACCCATGTATGGTCAAGCTTGAAGCTTGCCAGATGTGTAGTGTCCTTGTTGATTCCTGTCAGCTGAAAAGACACCATAAACAATGTTCTATATCACTTTTGTAACTTAGTAGTCCTATAAATACACAATGTATTGGAGATGAACAAAGGCAGACTTGTTTAAAGTCCAGCCTTAGTGATAACCTTGGCTCCTTTCATATATATCATGGAGAAATGAGCATAGTCATAAAGGGACAGGAAGTGTGTTGTTCACAGCCTTACAAGGTGATAAAAAAGGGAAAAGTCTAAAAGAAAACTAAGGCATCCACATCATCTGGTAAGCTGCAATATATTACAGGTTTGTTTCTAGATACGTTTTAGGTTTCATTATCTCTGATCTAAAAGTGAGGCTGAAGTAAATTGTACACTTTTCAAAAGAAAATTATTTAAATGCACTGTTACCTTATGATCTTATCATGTGTCCAAACCCATTTACGGTGACTGCAAAGCAAATCAACTGCAAAGACATATTCCCAAATGCTGTCTGTTAAATCTTCTCCATATTTCTTACTCTGCTGAAACTTCCCATCAGGACAAAGCTGAACTGCCATTAAAACACTGGTCAGAAGTACAGTTACATTCATGGGTTGGACCTGAAAAACAAGATACACGTTACAAGAATTTTAAAACTGATATACAAAAAGTGATTAGGTTAAAAAGGCAAAAAGTCTAATTTCAGAACTGATTGATAAATCTAATACTTTTGTTACTTCAGTTGACCACAAAAGGCAAGTAGATACATTTCTAAGTCTAGATATAGATAATTTTGAGATATGAGAACACAGTAACAATAAAAATATGCAAAAGAAAAATTCAATAACACATCCTTTTAAATAAATAGGATTTTTTTAAAAGTAGATTTATGCATTTTCATAAAACACCATAGGGACACCAGCAATATAAAAAATTAAACGATTTTAAAAATACATCCAAAAATAAGTCCTTCAAAGCTCTCGATATACATGGAGATCATGGACACCATAGGGACACAATATAAAAAAATAAACGATTTTAACCACCTCCCACCCGCCATATAGTAATATGACAGACGCAAGGTGGTTCTCTTGTTCTGGGAGGACGTCGTATGACGTCCTCCCATTCTAACCGCGTGTGCGATCCACGGAAAGAAAAGAAGAAGATGTCGGCTCGGTCATGTGATCAGCTGTGTCCAATCACAGCTGATCACATGTAAACAGGAAAATGCTGGATATCGGCATTTCTCTCCTCTCGAGCTGTCACGCTGATAATCGGCATTCCGCGGAGGGGACATGTACACTGATCATCAGAGCACTGATGATCAGTGTGCCCTGATGATCAGTGTAGCCACAGCAGTGCCACCTGTCAGTGTCCAACAGTGCCAGCTGTCAGTACTCATCAGTGCCACGTGCCAGGACCCATCAGTGCCACATCAATACCACATATCAGTGCCTACCAGTGCACAATACCACATATCAGTGCCCATCTGAGCTGCCTTTCAGTGTCACCCATCAGTGCCAGTCAGTGCCACCTATCAATGCCAACCAGTGCCACCTATCATTGCTGCCAATCAGTGCTGCCAATCAGTGCCACCTATCAGTGCCAGTCAGTGCCACCTAACAGTGCCATATATCAGTGCTGCCTTACAGTGCCCATCAGTGATGCCTGTCAATGCCCATCAGTGCCACCTACCAGTGCCTCCTCATCAGTGCCACCTATCAGTGTCCATCAGTGCAGCCTATCAGTGCCCATCACTGCAGCCTCATTAGCGCACATCAGTGAAGGAGAAAAATCACTTGTTTACAAAATTTTTATAACAAAATCTAAGAAAAAACTTTTTTTTTCAAAATTTTCAGTGATTTTTGGTTTAAGAAAAAAATAAAAACCCAGAGTTGATTAAAAAATACCACCAAAATAAAGCTCTGTCACAAAAAAAAATTATAAAAATGTCATATGGGTACAGTGTTGCATGACCACGCAATTGTCATTCAAAGTGCAACAGCGCTGAAAGCTGGAAATTAGCCTGGGCAGGAAGGGGGTATAAGTGCCCTGTAGGCTTGTGGTTAAAAATACATCCAAAATAAGTCCTTCAAAGCTCTTGATATACACATAGAGATCATGCCATCAAGCTAATGTAGCTGCATCTCTTAAAAGTTCACATTTGTATTAAAAACAAACATTCATATATAAATATGCGTGCAGGGGGGCGTGGCTTGGCACATGGAGCAGTAGCAGCTACTCTGCATAGCTCCCAGCCCGGGCTCTCTCTCCTCCTGGGGATCCTGTTCTGCAGGCACAACTAACACAGGGCACACAGAGATCCCGCAGCCCCTCCCCAGCATCTCTCTGCTCTGAAGATGGCTGGGATCCGCAGTCCCACATGCGGTCCCTGAACACCTACATGAAATCCCTACCTACAAAAGGCAGATTTTGAGCTTTATGTGAAACGTATTGAAAGCACATGCAAGCAGGAAATTTCTGATCTTAAACAAGACATTTGTGTGCGCATGGAAGAGATTGAAAATACCGCTGGCGGTCTGTGTACCGCTTTACAAACCCACGAAGAGAACCTTAACTCCCATACGGTCCTTATATAACAGCTCATGTACCAACATGATGACATTCAGAACAGGAACTGCCGTAACAATATTCAGATCAGGGGCATACCAGAAATCATTGAATCTAAAGATTTGGACGCAGTGGTTAACGCCATCTTCAATCAACTGCTCCAGCAACCTAAAGACACCCATATTGAGTTGGACTGCGTACATCGCACGCTGGGCCCCAGGAATCCTGACCCATCTTTTTTCCTTGATACCCTGTGCAGGGTCCACTACGTTAAGGTCAAGGACGCCATTATGCGTGCGGCCAGCACGCAGGACACCATCCTATTTAACGAGCCAGTGATGCTCCTCCCTGACCTTTCCCGCCAGACTTTAGCTATGCGCAGGGCTCTGCGCCCTCTCACTTAATTTGCAGGAGAGGCATATCCGCTACCAGTGGTGGTTCCAGTTTCAACTTCACACCTCCCAGAATAGTAAATCTGCCAATTCCACACCCTTGGGGACTTGCCTACATTTCTCGGTGTGTTCGAGCTACCTCAGGTGTCCCTCCCGGATTGCCGCTTTCAACTACCGACCCCTGGCCTTCCATTCCCCTCTTCCCGGCAGTGGTCCGATCGCAAGAAGAAGCGTTCCAGATCTTCCTACCAAAAGATCCCAGAGGGATAACTTCCTATCTGCGTGAATCGAGAGGTTTTTCCCTTTCCTCCTCTCCCTACAGTTTTTGTACATGCTGTTTACTTCTATTAGATCTGTGCATTATATGTGTACCTGTTTTTTTTTAGGTTCTGGGGCTGTGGCCTATGGTTGGTCCCTGGGTTCCACCACCGCCATTTGCTGTGACGGGGCAGGGACACATTCGGCCCTAGTCTCAGGGGTTTTAGGTCCTTCCTTTATTTATCTCATCCACACCCCGTCATTACCGTTCTCTGTTTATGTTTACTTGTTGGGGGCGGGGGCTTACTTTCTCATGCCTGTTTGAGGGATTATTGAATACGTTTTGTAGAGGGGGGTTGCACTGAACTGAGGGTGACCTCCCTCAAGTTATCCTTTGCCTGTGGGAGGACTGGTTCGAAATATGATACATGCGCCTTTGACGTTCCCCACCTAGGCCTTCGGTGTATTACGCAGTTTCACACTATGTTATTTTGACAGTTCGCCTGTCTAATAGTTACAACTTATTTATCTTGTTTTCTTTTTTTCTCTCTGCTCTGCCTTTCTTGACTCCCCTTTTTTTTCCCTCTCTTTATCCTATTTGTTCTCCCTCAACCAACTATGACTCCGATTAAATTTCCTCTATTAATTGCAGGGGCTTTAACACTCTGGAGAGGCGGAGCCAGATGCTCTACCATTTCCATAAATGTGGAACCCAGATCTTGTTACTCCAGGAGACTCATTTTCGCTCTGATGGTATCCCAGCCTCCACAATCGTCAATATACTCAGTGATATAGTACTAATCCACAGGTTAGGTCTAAGGGGATGTCGGTGGCCTTTCATCATACCTTCGGCCCGGAGGTCCTGGACTCCCTAATCGAACCAACTGGTTGCTAGCTCTTCCTTAAATTGAACTACCAAGATTTTGTTTTTACCGTGGCAAATATTTACGCTCCCAATATTGATCAGGCTCCGTTTCTGGCGACAGTCCTCTCTAGGCTGTCCGCTTTTGGGGGTCCCTGTTTCATCGTCAGAGGGGACTTCAACATAGCCCTTTTCCAGACTTGGACACTTCAGCAGGCAAATCTTCTCTCTCATTGTTGGCCATCTCAACTGAAGTCGCGTTTGCATGACTTACACCTAGTGGATGTTTGGCGCATCCAACATCTTTCGGAACAAGACTATAGTTATTATTCTGCAGCTCATGCATCTTACAGTCGTATAGACTATTTCTTTGTTTCACAGTCTCTTCTAGATTGTCCTATTTCATCCTCTCTCGGTTATGGTCAGACCACTCCCCAGTCCATCTTATGATTCAGGACCGACTGCCGTCTTTGCGTCGCTTTTCATGGCGCTTGAACGATACCCTACTCAAAGATTCTCTATGTATCGCGGAGGTTGTGAAGACTATCCAGGACTTTATTCTAGACCACATATCGGACACTACCGGCCCTCTTAACCAATGGGAGACTCTCAAATGTGTTCTTAGAGGGGTTCTTATTAAGCATGGCTCTTGCTTGAAAAAAGCTCGTATGTCGGAGATGTGTCGCTTATTTTCGCTCATTGCACGCCTTGAATCGTCCCACAAACGTACGTTGGACCCGGTGCTTGCGGTGGACCTCTTTAACGCTCGTAGAGATTTACTCCAACTACTAGATTCCTCCTCCCTTGGTAAACGAGACAAAGCACGCAACACTCATTGTGATTCCTCTCTTTTTTTTGTAGGTTTACCACAAGGAGTGGTTTCACTGATTCACTTTGTCTTTATCCCCCAGTGGGATCACTATTATTTTTTTCACACCAGTTTATCCAAGGCATGTAAAGTTTACATGCGTTTATGTCACTATATTTTTTCACTGGTGTTGTCGTTCAGGAGTTTTCTCAGTTTCACTGCATTTAATATATGTGTATTAATATTGCGTATGTTTGTGGATTTTCTTATTTAGGAGAGGGGGTGAGAGGTTGTGGGGTTTATGCCTTATTTGACTTCGTTATCTATTATTGATTTTAAGGGGATATTGTTCACCTATTTATTGTATATTAAGTATTGGGTTCGCATATAGTTTATTAGCGCAGCACCACATTTTACAATTTGGGTTGACCATTTTTTTGGTATATGGTTAGGTGTTAGCAGCTTTAGTCACAGGTTCACCTAAGCTCAGGAGGACTTTGAATATTGTCTACGCAACACTCATTACTCTCTAGCTAACAAATGTGGTCAACAACTGGCGCGTGTACTCCACCCTTGACCATCCCGTCGTCCAATCCAGCACATCAAGGCGCCTGACGATACTAAAATCTATCACAATAAGGTAATCTGTTCTGCGTTTGAGCACTACTATTCTCAATTCTATTACCTCTCTGCCGCGAATCTTGATGCTCCCCCGTTTCCTCCCTGCCGGCTATGTCCCAATATATTATGGAGACGGCGTTACCTGTTCTAGACCCCCAAGATGCATTGGATCTGGAGGAGCCCTTCTCGATTTCTTGGGGCAATTCAGGCCCTGAAAACTGGTAAGTGCCCGGGTCCGGACAGATTCACTCCACACTTTTACAAAACATTCGCCACCCAATTAGCCCCACTTCTGGCTCAAGCGTTTAATGTTATCGATGATTTGAATGTACCTTTATCAGCTTTTTTGTCCACCACCAAGTCGGTTATTCCTAAGCCGGGTAAAGACCCTTCTCATTGCGGTAGTTATCGCCCAATTTCCCTACTTAACCTGGACGTTAAGCTTTTTGCTAAACTTTTAGCAAACATCTTTCCCCTTTCCTACCAACCTTGATCCACCACTACCAGGTTGGCTTTGTCCCGGGTCGTGAAGCTAGGGATAATACCTCTAAAACAATCCATCTTATCTCTAATATCAAGCAACACAGCTTAAAGGCTTGCCTACTTTCATTCGATGCTGAGAAGGCGTTCGATCGCGTCGACTGGCGATTTCTGTCTTACCTTGGAACAGATCGGTTTGGATTTGTGGTTCCTTGCTCGGATTATGTCCCTCTATTCTCATCCTTCGGCGTCTGTCCTGGTCAACGGTATGGTTTCTTTGCCCTTTCCCATATCAAATGGCACCAGACAAGGATGTCCCCTTTTGCCCCTTCTCTTTGTTTTAATAATGGAACATCTTGGGAGAGCCACACGAGCTAACGACTCAATCTTGGGCATCCACACTCCCCCCCCCCGCACAGGCATAAATTATCCTTATATGCTGACGACCTTCTAGTTTACGTTCAACAGCCACTTATTGCCCTCCCCAGTCTTTTCCACAAATTTCATAATTTGGATCCTTCAGCAACTTTAAACTTAATATCTCTAAAACGGAAGCCCTCAATTTCTTTAC